TCTCTTGGATCTGTTTTCCAGGTTAATTGTTTTTTCAGTGACATATTTCACATCATCTTCTATTTTTTCATTCTTTTGTTTTTCTATTATAATTTCTTGATTTCTCATAGAGTCATTAGCTTCCATTTGCTCCATTCTAATTTTTAAGGAATTATTTTCTTCATTTTTCCATTTGGTCAATTCTGCTTTTTAAATAAAGCATTCTTCTCCTCATTGGCTTTTTAGACCTCTTTTGCCATTTGGTCTATATTTTTAAGGTGTTATTTTCTTCAGTATTTTTTTTTTAAGGCCTAGGGACCTACAAGTTTTCAGTTCTTCCAAGGTGGTATGATCTAAGGAGAGGTGTTTACTCCTCTCCCAGCCTGTGTTCTGAAAAGCATTCTTTTCTGCCCTGGAACTGTGAGGAGTGTTCTCTCTCCACTGCTGCCACAAGCTCTGCTATGCCAATACTCCTCCTTGCCCCAGGACTGCCCCCCAGGACTGTGACCCAGATCCAAGAATGGGCAAAGCAACAGAATCCTGCCTCAGTGCCAGCAAAGAAACCCCTGTTTCTCCTTCTGATCAGTTATTTGATCTCCTTACTGTCTGCAGAAGCAGCTGCTGCCACTGCCACTTTTGCTGCCCCAGGTCTGTGTTGGGGCCTGGGCTGGACTGTGTTCTCTCAGCCTAGTGCAACTGACCTTTCCTATTGACCTTTCAGGTTGTCTTGGCCTGGAGATTTGTTTCAATCTTTTTATGGGTTTTGCTGCTCTAGAATTTGTTTAGAGTCATTTTTACAGATATTTGGAGGGGTTTGGGGGAGACCTCAAACAAGTCCCTGTCTTTACTCCACCATCTTTGCTGTACCCCTCAAAGTTGTTTTTAAAGCAATATTGCTGTCATCTAGCTTAATTGATACTTGGCCAACCCATACTTGAATGACAAAATCTCTAATAAGTGGCCCTTTCTCAAAGTCTTCCAATTTGGGGGGAACCCACTACCTCCAAATGTAGGCTCATGAGCAAAACTGATCAAACCCAAACCTGCATTTCTATAACTCTCACCCATTGTTCCCAATTCTGATCTGAAGGTAAGCAAAATAAGTCTGCTTCTTCTTCCACATGGCAATCCTTCAAGAGCTTGATGCCGACACATCATGTCCCTCTATGTCTTCTTTACACAGGCTAAGAATTTTTAATTTTTTCAACTTATCCTTATGTGGCTTGTTCTCCATTCCTCTAACTCAACCTGGTCATCCTCTTCTGTACCTATTCCAACTTCTTTGTTCCCTTCTTAACATATGGTACCCTAAAACCCTCATTTTTTTTTCAGATTATTGTCCAGTCATACCATACCCATCCAATACAGTATTTGTGATGATGATTTTTTACCCTAATCATAGACCTTTATATTTATTCCTATTAAATTTCAACTTATGAAAATTTGGTCAATTTTTCTAGCCTGTTGATATATTTTGAAATTCTAATTCTGTCATCCAATATGTTAGCTCTATCCTACCTAGCCTTATGCTATTTACAAATTTGATAAGCAAGTTTTCTCTATATGGAAATATTCTGGCTTTATTTTTCCCAAAGTGAGGGTAGCTATATCACTTCCTCATGATTTAAGGAGTACCTCTGAGGGGTCAAGGTGATTCTTCTCTAATGCTGTCAGCTCAAATCCTCATTCTGCTGTGTCCTCTCACTGTTAGCCTCCAGTGATTAGTTCCCTAGTTCCTTTTAAATAATTCATATCAATTAGCTTTTACAAATCACTGTGAAAATTCAGCAGTAATAGAAGAATAAATATCTCTTTCTCCCCTGCCTCCCACCCTAGTACTTGAGAACATGCTCTTGCCTGGACCTCTTCAGTTTCTGGGGAGAATGGCTCAAATTTAAAGCAGTTTGTCTAAAGCATTGATCCCACCAAGTCGCTTTCAAATGCAGCAATAACCAAAGATGGATGAATCTATCTCTGTTACTGCTGGATTGGGCCAGATAGGTAATATGGGACTTCTCTCCTTATTGTTTGGTTTCTAACAAAGCACAGCATGGATTCTAGCTTCAGGCTAACTTTTTTTGACCTTTTAAAGCTTACAAGGTCATAGCTGATGCCAGTTTCCACCTTAAAGGAAAGAATGGATACAACAGATTTGGAAACAAGAGCAGGTCTATGTGCTCTCAGGTTCATGCTGGATCTAGGTGAAAAAGGGACCAAGGCCCCTCTCCTACCTTGAGGCTCCTATTTGTATCAGCAACGATCCTCCTTTTCCGACATCAGCTAGGCCAGAAATCACCAGAACAAAGAAACTTGCCCTGGCTAATACCTTTTGAAAGTACTCCAATTCTAACTACACAGTAAGTCAAAAAGCCTTGTCTTCAACATGTGATTAGTAGAGTAGAATCATTAGCAGTGTGTCAGTGCATGGTCCATAGTTCACATAAGTATTTTTATCAGCCAAGACTATTGAACGTGCTCATGAGGACTTGATTCATTGGTAAGACCCTCATTATACAGGGTGTCCCTAAAGCACTGACATTTGCAACACCACGTATCTGAAATCATCCAAGTCACCGGTAAACAGAATAGGGGAGACAATAAACTCCGGTGGCTCACAATAAGAAATCCTTGTCAAAGTTGACATTCACTCAATAATGTCTTTTCTTTAGGTCTAGTTATTTAATCAGTTTGAAATTTATCTGACAGTAATATTATCTGATTGATACATCTCCATCTTGTTCTCAAGGCACCATGGGAAATTTTGTCAAATGATTCGCTAAAATCTTACTATTCTCTATCTGTGGTATTCTCCTAATATATCAATCTAGTAACCCTGTCAAGAATGAAATGGGTCTATAAGTGATATAAAGGACATCGTCAAACAGGAATGTTCACATATCAAATGTAAAGGATAGCCATGGTTGGTGGTGCACACCTATAATTCCTGCTACTGGAGAGTCTGAGGCTGGTAGGTAGCTTGAACTTGGTAGTTGTGAGCTGTAGTCAGTCAGTAAGCATTTACTAAGTGTCTACTATGTGCTAGGCACTGTGCTAAGCTCTGGGGATACAATGACAGGTAAAAGACAATCCTATCTCTCAAGAAGTTCAGTCTAATGAGAGAGACAACATGCAAGCAACTATGAATGAACAAGTTATTTACAGGATGAGTTGGAAATACAGGAAGGCACTAGTATTGAGGGGACTCAGGAAAGGTTTCCTGCAGAAGGTACAATTTTATCTGGGACTTGAATGAAGCCTGGGAAGCCAGGAGGTAGAGATGATTAAGGAGAACATTCCAGGCATGAGGGACAACCAGTGAAAATGCTTAAAGTTGAGAGAAGGATTATTTTGTTTGAAGAATGGCAAGGAGGCCAATGTCCCTGGACTTCAGAGTATATGACAATATGTAAAAAGTATATAAAGAGTAAAATGTGTAAAAAGACAGAAAAGTTGTGTGTGGAGGCGTCCAAGTTATGAGGGGCTTTGAATGCCAAGGAGAGGATTTTTATATCTGATCTTGCAGGTCATTGGGAGTCATTGAAGTTTATTGGAAGCAGTGAGAAGAGAGGCGATGCAGTCAAACCTGCACTTTGTTAAGATCCTTTTAACCCTCCACTTTAGTGGAGGCTGATGGAGTAAGGAGAGACTTGTGGTGGGAAGATTAATGATCAAGCTCTTATAATATTCTAGGTGGGAGGTGATATGGGTCTGCAGCAAGATGGTAACCGTGTCTGAGGAGAGAAGGGGATACATGTGAGAGAGGTCACTAAAGAAGAACAGACTGGCAACAGATTGGATACGGGGGGGTGAGAGAAAGGACGGAGTCAAAGGTGACATCTAGGTGGTGAGCCTAATGCTAAAGTCAATTGGATATTTGCATTATACTATGCCCTGGTTCAGGGCCCACCAGGTTACCTAAAGAGGGACAAACTCACTCAGGTTAGAAATGGAGGAGGTCAGAACTTCTATGCAAATTATTATTGGTATTGGGCCCATGAGCAGCCACCATACTTCTAGTCTTGGTGAGACAGGGAGACCCAGCCTCAAAAAACAAATAAACAAACAAACACACAAACTAAAGGGTAACAGATGGATGGCTCCCATGTGGTACTATCACTCACAGCATATCCAAAGAAACAGGGAAAGTTTTATTGCACATTGGATGGCTTCTCTATGGAGGACAGTTTATGGGATGATATAGACTAAAATGACTCAGTATAAGAAGGTGTGGTGGCATCAGTAGAGGTCATACCCATGTTGATAAAATCACAGGTATATAAGATGATATTACAATATATCTAGTGGAACTTAGCACAACATTTTGCACGTTCTTAGGTTCTGGGTACTTGACAGATAGTAATCAAATTGAATACAATTGAAGGGGAATTGAAGAAGGGACTCCAGAATGCATTGCGATTCTTGAAGGACCCTAAATATTAGGCCCCATGACCTGTTTATGCCACTTTGTACAGTGCCCTGAGCAATTCTTTTAATTTAAACAAAGCATTTTTAAAATGGTAGAGGATGCTAATAACCAAGTTGAAGTCTAGGTCATTATAGACATCAACTACAATAAACATTTTGTTCAAAATATTTTACTAAGGGGTTTGGATTGGGTGTTTCAAAAGACACCACAGGGCTAGTTCTTGCCTTCAAGAACATACCCAAAACAATTCAAAATGTACTGGAAACCTCAGAAAAGAATCCAGACACCTTTGCTTAGCCAATTATAATTGTACAGAGATCCATAGATAAGTTCTCCAGGATTGTAGGAATGATAAACTATGACCAGAGGTCCTTTGGGGGAACATGGAAAAGCTTCCTGGGAGAATGGAGAAATAGGCTTTGGAAAGAATGCTTTTTTTTTTGGTCAGAAGAAGGAAAAACCATGGAATATGGGAGAAATAACTGTGTGTTTGAGTCAGTGATCCGGTTTGTCCGATGAGAGTAGAGATGTAGTGGCCTTTGTGCTGTGGAAGATAAGGGCAGCTGCGCTGACTGTAATGTGATGTTTTTTTCAGATCTGCAGATTCACATTCATCAAATATTGATTAAGATCTAATAGAGATTGGGACTACAATGCTATCTCTTTTGTGTAAGGAACTGCCAAATGAGGAAGCTCTTTCTACCAATGCAGGTTGGTATCTTCTGTTCAGAGTAGCTAGGTGTTGCAATGGATAGAGTGCCAGGCCTGGGGTCAGGAAGACTCATCTTCTTGAGTTCGAATCCAGCCTCAGTCACTACTAGCTGTGAGACCCTGGGCAAGTCACTTAACCTTGTTTGCCTCAGTTTCCTCACATGTAAAATGAGGCTGGGGAAGGAAGTGTCAAACCACTCTGGTGTCTTTGCCAAGAAAATCCCAAACAGGGTCATGAAGAGTTGGACATGAAAATGACTGAACATCTTCTGTACAGCTTATAGTCTTGCATAGCTGCCTAGAGTATTGGAAAAATTAAGTGACTTGCACAAGGCCACAAAGCTATGTGTATCAGAGGTGGGGCTTGAACCCAAGTTCCCTGGCACCTAAGCTAGCACTCTATCAATATACCAAACTGCCTCTAAGTCTCTAATAAATGCAGGCAAATGGTCTTCTCTAGAGAAATGAAGTGATGTAATCCAAATGATATCTGACTTACCATTGTTGCTAGGTACAGCACGAACCAGAGGGCAGAGAGGCTGTTGGAAAAAGTCCTTGAGTAGAAGCTAGTGTTGTAGTTTGGTCCTATATAATTAGAATGTGGGTTATGACTACGGGAAGAGAAGAATGGTTGGAGATGGAGATGGACTGGTGATGGCCTGCCTGTCAGAGGTAAGTGACAAAGAGATTTAAAATGTGCTATAAGACTTAGAAGCCTAAAATTTTGGAAGGAAAATTCATTAAATTTTGATAACCTTTATTAAACATTACTATGCATTTGGCATTGTGGATACAAAGACAAAAATGTCTTTGCCTTCAAAGAGCTTACATTCTACTAGTAGAGAAATAATATAGCTGTAAGCATGTAAATAAGTACAAATGCATAAAAGATAAAATTTTAAAAAATACAGAAATGGGTAGAGGAAGAATGGGAAGGGCTAACAACTGGGTAAAGGTCTCCTATGTGAGGCGATACTTAAACTGAATCTCACATGAAACTAGGGTACCACAACGTGAGAAGAATATTCCAGACATGAGAAACTGCCTATGCCAAGATATGGAGATAGGAAGCAGAATATTGTGTAAAGTGAGAGCAGGGGAGCACTTTGTTGCTAAAATCACCAACTTATCCAGAATCAGAGGATCATAAATGATGGAATCATTGATTTACATGTAGAAGGAATCTTAAAAGTCATTGAGTCCAAACCACTCTTTTTTCAGATGAAGAAACTGAAGCCCAGAGAAGTAAAATGTCTTGCCAAAAGTTATATAGTAAGTGGAAGAGCCAGGATTTGAACCCAGGTATCTTGACTTCAAATTCAGTGCTCTGAATTAGGTGTTCACCAGGACTGGATCAGCCATTTTGGGGATATGGTGCCAAGGTGGAAACCTGTTCTCAATGTATTTATCTCTAAAGGCTTTGAAAGTTGCTTCAAGTTCTGAGGACACAGCTCCAAGAAACATAACTCAACTGCTCTGCTTGGAAGAAGAGTTTCATTTATACTATTGCATCATTTTGTTCCCCAATGTGTTTAGATCTTTGAAAGAAGCGGAAATCCTCCATAATTTATCTGATAAGAGAGTTAATTATTGAGTTACAAGCAGCAAGTAGGTTTGCATTCTGGGACAAGCTCAGTAATTAAGTCACAGAAATCTCTCTTCCTTTTGTAACATGCTTTGAGTCTAAGCTTTTTTTTTTCATCATTGAAGAATATGAAATGTAATGCCATCATAGCCATCATCTGAGATTAACTTTAAAAGCCTTCTCAGTTTACCACTTAAGGACCCAAATCTACCTTTTTGTGATGCTCTTTTTTCACTAATTGCCATTACAACTCTATTGACTCCCAGCTGGGGGGAAAATGTGTGCGAAGGTGGAACCATATAGTGCTGTCATCAGCAGATATTTGGTAAAGAAAGAAAAAACAAACAAACAATAAAATCAGTGTTTCCAAAGTATAGGTTTGTTGTAATCATGCACATATTACATTAATTTTTATAAGACAAAATATAATGGAAGTATTGCAAAAAGTAAGTGAAGTTTGTGGGTAAGAACCCTTCCTATTCTGGTGATTTTGGAATACTAGATAAGATCTTTTTGAAATGTAGAAAGAAACAATTCTCTCTCTCTCTCTCTCTCTCTCTCTTCTCTCTCTCTCTCTCTCTCTCTCTCTCTCTTTCTCTCTCTCCCTTTTATAAAACTGCAGTTTTATTGCAGGATAATATGGTAAAAAGATTCATTGTAAGGGTTACCTAACAACGTTGGTGGTGTTGATGAATAGTTGCAATTAATACATTCCCTTAATTAGTCTGATACCCAGAAGATGCACCTGGCAGGTCATTTTAATACTACAATTGATTTATAGCTGCTAGAAATGATTTTACCAGCTATCTTCAGAGAGCACAATTAGAGTGGATTTCGTTTTTTTTATGCATTTTCACTGAGGAATAAACATAAAAGGTCTATGTAATTCAGAACAAAGCAGCTATAATGTACTAATGGTTTATGGATTTTATTAATATTCAGCTAACATTAGAGGCAATTTTAGGGAATAGCAACCTATTTTCTTTATGAAGTATTCAATTTTTTCTTAGTGTCTCAGTGCTTTGTTTAAAAAATAAACTGTATGTTTTTTTGATGAGTTGCTGCTGTTTCTTATAGGAAAATATTTTCTACATTGTAACATTAAAAATGACATCAGAATTTTAAAAGTGCCATACACTGGTTGAATATACATACACTTGTATATCATATATTTATTTCTTACACATGCATAATTAAAAATAGGTATTTATGTTTCTGTGTAATTTAAATAGTGTCACCATTAATGTAATTATTAAGCTAATGCATTGTACCCTACCATTGGAGGAGGGAGAAGTATTTTGGAACTGAATAGGTAACAGATTATTTTCAACTCCCAGATTAAATTTCTGGGATTTAATTCTCTATTCACTTGGGGGTGTGACTTTAGGCAAATCACTAATCTTTCTATTTCTCTTTCATCATCCTTAAAATAGGACCTCTAATTTTTACTTAGTTGTTTATAAATCATTTTAAGGTGCATAAATGAGATACTAGAACTTTTCACATTGAAAATGATGTTTTTAAAGGTTCGTGTTTTTAAAACCTCACCCTTATGAAATTAATTATTTTCAACTCCCAGATTAAATTTCTGGGATTTAATTCTCTATTCACTTGGGGGTGTGACTTTAGGCAAATCACTAATCTTTCTATTTCTCTTTCATCATCCTTAAAATAGGACCTCTAATTTTTACTTAGTTGTTTATAAATCATTTTAAGGTGCATAAATGAGATACTATGAGAACTTTTCACATTGAAAATGATGTTTTTAAAGGTTCGTGTTTTTAAAACCTCACCCTTATGAAATTAAACCCACAAAAACACATCTCTACAATAGGTCCATCATTAGCAAACTCTTTTTGGTTGAGTCATTTACATTTCAAAACCTCAGATGAAACCACATGGATATTTTACAAATTTTATGTGCACCATATGTTAATAACACATAGATACACTTGCATATTGTCTATACTCTCTCTCTCTCTCTCTCTCATATGTATATATATTATATATATTGTATACAATATACATAGATCTACCTTCTTTTAGCCAATTTCAAAAGTCTAAGATTATGTATTTGTATTCTGTGGAAAATGGTAACCAATTTCATATATATATATATATATATATATATATATATACATATACATACATATGTATAACACACACACACACACACACACACACACACACACACACATATATATATATATATATATATATATATATGTATATGTATAGTTTAAATATTTTATGAAGGTTTTGGTGTCTGGCCTGTGATTTCATCAGTATGAAGGACTCCTGTCAGGGAAACTTCCTCCACTCTTGCAGATAGGCAAATCATCATAACTTATAGTCTCAGTTTCCTGGGGACCCTGAGAGGTTAAGTAATTTGTCTGTGGTCAAATAGCAAATATTTATCAGGGGTAGGATATAATATCAGGTCTGACTCCAAGACTGGCCCTGTATCCATGAAGCCACGCTGCCTCTGATTGGATAAAGTGCCAACTACACACACATCCACACCCCCACCCCCTCACCCTCATCCCCGTCACATAAACCCTGATTTATCTTTTGATAATTAATTGCCCCAAGTATCCTTATTCCCTGACCAATCCCGGAGATCAGAGTTCTGGTTAGGAGAAATGCTACATAAAGACAATGGATTCGAGTCCCTGATAGGAGAGAGAATGCCTATTTATTTTCTCTGCCATCCTTCCCTAAAGAACCTCTCATCCCAGAGATGACAGCAGTGGAGAGACAGTAACAGAGCTCTGGAAGGAGTTCTTGTAGGAGAACCATCCAATGGAAGACTTGTAGAACACAGCTTAGTGGAGAGATGAGGAAGAATTACTAACTTATCCTAAATTCTCAGATTAAGCAAGAACTAGACCTGAGGAAAAGCAACAGAAAGAAACCAGATGTACAGGAGGAGAGGTGGGCTTTAGATCTAGACACATTATGATGTTACTGGGGGAGATCCCAGGTGAGTAGGGGCACAAGCCAAAGAAAGTGCTTTCTCAGGTGCCACCAACATTAGTACCTGTTCATGTACAATGAGACTTTGGATTCTGGGCCATAAATTACAATGATCGTAACACCACATTTGAAGGAGACTTTAAATGTTCCATATGCTTTCACATTCATTGTCTCAATAATTCCCTCTTGTTCCCCTAAATTGTCTTCTGCAAGTAATCCGTTGCCATGTTAATACCCCAACAGAATCTCAGTTCCTGGAGGGCAGGAGAAGATTTTCATTTTTATCTCTGTAGCCCCAGCACTTAGGCACTTAAATCTATGTTGAACTGTTGAACTGAATTGAAAGGAATTCAGTTCTGGTTAATGGACTTTGGTTGTGGGTTATGTTCTCACTTCATTTATCTAGAACAATTAGGTTGTTGTTGTTGTGCGGTCATGTTCAACTCTTTGTGACCTCATTTGGGGTTTTCTTGACAAAGATACTGGAGTGCTTTGCCATTTCCTTCTCCAGCTCATTTTACAGGTGAGGAACTGAGGCAAGCAGGGTTAAGTGACTTGCCCAGGGTCACACAGCTAATCATTGTCTAAGGCCAGATTTGAACTCATAAAGATGAAGAGTCCTCCTCATTTCAAGCCCAGTGCTCTCTCCACTGTACTACCTAGATGCCCCTATGATTAAGTAGCTCTCACCAAAGATGGAGAAAAGATTGGGAATCTTAGTTCCCTTCTAACTCTATGATTTTTGTTTGAAAAACTCTAATCCTTTCTGACTAAATGGTAGGGGGAACTAGGTCTATACAGAATTCCTTTAGAGGATATCATGGTATAGGATGCCTTCAACAAGTGGCTGTGGTTTGGTGGCCACAAGTCTTTCAAAAGATCTGGAAGTCAAAGGGTGTTATAAGTTGAGTCCTGCTCTCTACCACCATTTCATCATGGCTGACTGAGGGTTCAGGGCTGCCCTGTGGCTCCTGGTGCCTTCTGACCCCTGTACCACTTCTTGTGATTGGGGTTCTATTGGAGAAATAGGAAACAGTTCTGGCTTTTTGTAAATTATAGGACTGGGACCTTGAAAGGTCATCTAGTCCATTCCCCTGCTTCTGGGAAAGAGGAGAGGCAATTATCTTGGCTTCTGGAGCTCTCTCTGAAACCAATTGATGCTCCAAGTATGGAAGTAAATATTTGCCTCAGGAGAAGCCTATGCTATCTAGATAGGGTTGTTTTATTTTGTATTGTTTTTGGTAAATGGATATTTGAAAGTGAAATATTTTTCCCTTCTGATTTCATTCTTAACTTGGTCAACATTATATTTTCCTCCAATTCTAATGCTGCAGGAGATTTTTAATACCAAGCATCAGCATCACTGACAGCCATCTGTGCATACAGCTCCAGGCACAGATATATCTCCTAGGAGATGTCTACACTAGCTTTTCAACATTTCAGGGTTTTGCTGCTCAAATCACCTGAACTCTTTTCATTGAAGGATTTGGAAACAAAAGCTAGGTATAGCATACTGTATGAGAGTCACCATTTTTGTGATTTGTTGGGCCATAGCAACTGCTTGGAATGACTCAAGGTTTAGGACTTTTGTTCAGGGTTCTAGAAGTAAAATACACAGTCTAATTTTTTTAAAAAAATTCTTCCCTTGTTCCCTGCTCTGTGTTTATGCCAGGGTGCTATATGATACAATGACACTAT